CATATATATTATAATAGGACTAATAGAACTAGTCCTTTTCTAGTTTCTGGCATGGTGGTAATACTGTTCAGTGGATAAGCCCAATATCAACTATACATATATTATAATGTAATACTTAACACTGATATAGTTTCATTGAAAATTTATATATATGTAATTTATAATTTCATTTAATAAATTATACATACACACACACATATATATATAAACACTAATATGTGATTTTTGTTGTTAGTTGAGATACGAATGGCTGCACAAATACCACTTATGGACCCGGTTGATCGGTCTGTGCTGGTGATGCCACGTTACGCGCATCGCGCGGACCTTATCTGGAATGGTTCTACATCTTTGGATGAGAAGTTGAGATGTAATATATATTGTTCAATGGTGTACAAAGACGGCCCGCGTCACCCAGGAGTGGTAGCGTTGCTGAAGACCTCCGGATTTTATGGCGTCGAGGGCATTGGAAGGTTGCAGTTGGACTGGTCACTTATAACAGCGTTGGTTGAGAGATGGAGACCAGAGACACACGCCTTTCATTTGCCTTTTGGTGAGGTCGGCATCACCTTACAGGATGTAGAAGTGTTGTTGGGGTTGCCCGTCGATGGAGAACCATTGTCTGGACCTAGGACGAATTCGAAGGCACTTTGGATGCAAATGTGCACAAACTCTGCCGGGTTCACGCCAACCAACAAGTACTTAAACACATCTGTAATAAGAATGAATGCCCTACACCGTTGGCCGGTACATCAGCACAGCACAAATGAGGAACTCATCACACACACGAGGGTACTCATTTGGCAACTAGTAGGCGGGTTATTGTTCCCCTCCACAACTGGGAACAAAATAAAATTGTACTTTTTAGAGTTGTTGCAGGGACCGCTCGGTGATGCACGACGGTGGAGTTGGGGCTCAGCAGTGTTGGGATACTTATATCACAACATGTGCAAGGCCGCCAAAGCTGACAGAAAAAATATTGGGGGATGCTTGCTTCTATTACAAATTTGGGCATGGGAGAGATTGCCCATGGTGCGGCCGCGAAACGTTTTGCCATTTGAGAATCTACAGGATAAGCCATATGGATGCAGGTATAATTTCAAAATTTACATAATAAATATTAATATATCAAAAATATGTGTAGTTCACGGTATAATAACTTATTTTTATGAAGGTGGGCGTGTCGGCACAATTGGGAACAAAGTTCTCGGTATACCTTGCGTCTTTATCGAGATCAGTTGGACGGGATACAAGAGAACGAGGTTATAATTAACAATATCATTTTAGTTTAATAAAAAATTAATATATATATATATAAATTAACTTCAAATAATATTGATCCAGTTCGTGTGGCTCCCATATGCATTACAAACCCTCCCCTGGTTCTGCGTCGAGGGAATACAAATGTGGACATCTAATGTCATGCTTATATTCTGTGACATTTCTGAGATGTACTACCCCGGTAGATTTTGTCGTCAATTCCGTGCAATGCAACATGTTCCTCCCGTGGCGGAATCTCAAGCTAGACACCATGCAAGTGGTGCAAAAAATTCTGGATGGCCATTGACACTATGGGAAGAAAGGCACACTGCTCGTCGTCGTACCGCAATGGAGTTCGTTGATGATCCCACCTACACTCCTGCGTACCGTGAATGGTACAAATATGTTGGGAAACGACGGATTTGCAATCCGTTACATGGCCGACCTACAACGGGTTATGTACCTACTAATAGGGAGACGAGTACTTTGGTAAGTATTTTATGTGTATTTATTCTTCTATTACAAATGTTTATTGTTATTTAATAACTTTACTTTTGAATTGTAGATGCAATGTATGGGGGATATCTATCGACGCATGACATCTCCATTTGACGTCGAAGACATCCGCGAGCAAATTGCACGATGCCTTACGGGATTAGGTGCCGAAAACGTGCTTCATGAAGACATCATTTTGTTCGGGGATGCCCATGACACATCAGTGGATGCTCATCCTCCACTTCGGCAAGACCTAAGAAGAGACGCGCCCACTCGAGGTCGGCGTTTCGGGCGCGGTTATGTCGATCCACACGTCGAAGAGAATGTGAATGATGATGATGATGATGATGATGGTGGTGGTGACAACGATAATCATGATGATGGTGACAACACTGATTATGAGGATGATGGTTATGATGATGATGAAGAGGATGCCGAAGATGGTGGCTTAGGAGGACAACCATCGTCTTATGTTCATTCACATATCCCTTCCCCGCCTCATGTACCCGATCATTACTCTACACCGATTGGTGCATACATTCCGACGTTTGAAGCACCACTGTTGTCCAACCACAAATATCAACATATGGAGGAGGTGATTCTCGCAATTGTGAAACTTTTCACAATATCCACTCCCACGGTGACGGACCATCAACGAGATACGGCGGACGCTATAACCCGCATTGTGTTGAACGTGAAGATGGCCCTTCAACAACATATGAAGAGGAAGAAGATTCTGATAATGAACAATTTTCTGGAGATGACGATGCAACAACAAATTCTGACGAGAATGATGTCGTTCATGACACAACATGGGCCGGTATCGAACTGGAACAACCATATGTTGAACCAGCAAATCGTGAAAGTGATATAATTGTGGTCGGCAAAATATACGATTCATACGACTTACTGAAAGAAGGCGTAGCCAAAGAAAGTATTCGGCAAAACCGAATTTTTAAGACACTTGACAAACGTGTCAGATCGTGGAAGGCAGTTTGCATCTATGATGAAACGTGTACATGGCACATTCAGGCGGGAAATATTCTCAACACCAATTTTTGGAAGGTGAAAAAATATCAGCCACTACACCACTGCATAATGGATTATGAAAGAGCTCCTAATGACAGACTGATGACGAGCAAGTTAATAGCGACTGCAATCGCCACCAAAGTGCATGTTGATCCGGATTACAGCATTAAACTCGTGATCCAAGACATATACGACAAATTCGGAATCAATGTCAAGTACAAAAAGGCGTGGTATGGACGTTTGATCGCCCTTGAGCGAAGATTCGGCAACTGGGAGGCGGCCTACAATGATTTACCCAATTTGTTGCATGCGATAAGAGCATCAAATCCGGGATCAGTGGTAGATTTCCAACCAAAACCAACCGATCACGCTGGTACGTATGAATTTCACCGTGCATTTTGGGCTTTCAAAGCTTCCATTGATGGGTTTGAACACTGTCTGCCTGTACTATCAGTAGACGGTACTCACTTGTACGGAAAGTTCAAGGGCCATCTCCTGGTTGCAGTCTCCATGAATGCTAACCGTGAGATTTTCCCTCTCGCCTACGCAGTCGTGGAAAGTGAAAACACAGATAGTTGGTCCTGGTTTTTGGAACACGTTATGACTTATGTTGTTAGACCAAATCGACGTGTGTGCCTAATATCAGACCGACATCCCGGCATCCTAAGTGCCTATCGATCAGTACCTCAATTGCAAACCTCCCAAGTTTCAAAGCGGTTCTGCCTCCGACACATTAGGAGCAATTTCATGACAAAATTCAGGAGCACTGAACTGAAAAAGCTCTGTTGGCAGGCTGGGAGTACACCCATTGTGAGTGAATTTTACCAAACAATGGCTCAAATTCGTGCTAGGAATGAGAATGCGTTCACATACTTGAATGATATTCCACATGAAAATTGGGCATTGTGCTTCGATGACGGACGACGTTACGGCATCCTCACAACAAATCTTTCTGAGAGCTTCAATAACGTCCTAAAGGGATGTCGCACACTTCCAATCACTGCGCTTGTTAAGGCGACTTATAACAAAGTTGTGCAACTATTTGCCGACCGACGTAGGGCTGGTCAGATGTGGCGGCAAGCTGGGTTCCGGTATCCGCAAAATATATGGAAAGATATTCTTGAACGTTCGCAGCAAAGGCATCGGTGCACTATTGTCCCGCATAACCTATCAACGGGAATATACTCTGTTTCCATTAGTGATTATCCGCCAGTAACCGTAAATCTATCACGTTGCGAATGTGATTGCGGTTTTTGGAAGCAGAATGGATTTCCATGTGTTCACGCCTATGCGACATGTCATTTCTTAGAAATAACTGTTTATCATCTCATCCCGGACGTGTATAAATTAGGTGCCTACATCCGTACGTATGCTTCGGATATTATGCCTTTGCATGACGTAAGTGCGATGCCTGATACCGGATATTTAGTGATACCGCCTCAAAGTGCTAGGCGCGGTCAAACCGGTAGACCTCAAAAGACCAGATTTACAAATGAAATGGATATGCGCCCGAGTAGGAGAGCACAAGAGTAAACATTTATATGTATTCTGTAACTCTTTTTAATGAATAAAAATTTGTATTCCTTTGTCATGTTGTTGTTATAGATGAAACGAGTAATGAAATATTTATATTATTTATTTTTCCTGGAACATTGAATAACTTCATAATACAATATCATTAAATATGTATATTCAATAATTAATACAATCACTAATCTAACAATTGATTATTTCTTATTTAATATATTAATACACATATTTCCAATTACAAATATCACTAAATTTATTCATTTTTAACACATTATCCCAATCAAAACACTTTATTATTTATCCCACGTAATATGAGAATTACCCAAAACATAATACTTCATATACCCTATTTTCATATACCCTATGTAGTATTATTATTCATCCCACAACCCATTTTTTATGTAATTACTTATGTCTTCCTATTTAAAAAAATTCAACAATGTATTTAAACAAACCAACTCAACAAACCCACTCACAACTAGAGGTACGTACGTAGCATGGCCCATGCTTAGCATTTAAAAAAATTAAAACCTATTTTCGGATTAGGGGAATCCGATTTTCATCTGTCCCTTAAGTTCGCCGAGCACCCTAATATTTTCGGATTCTCCAACAACGTTTCCCGCAAACTCAGAAAACCTAAAAAAAATCCCGTATTTTAGAAAACCATGTGATGCATTCCCGTAATGTGAGAAATCCCCCACATTCAAACTATGTAAATGATTTTTTGAGCATGTTCCTTGTCAAATCTAGTTTATCCATACTAAATTTCAGCTCAAAATTCGATCAGGCCAACCAAACTAGCTATAACATTCCCAAGCACATAATAAATTAAGATACCACTAGCCAGGATTTGAAGTCTTTTTTCAAGGATTTGTACTCCATGAATTGTAAACAATATGTACTTTGGGAGATGCACGAGGAAAGCTCAAAAACTTTTCTGGGGCCCGTAAAGCCCAAGAGTCATTGATATCTTGAGCTCCATGAATAACAACTTTTTGCAGTGCAGGCGACTTTGAGAGTAACAATTTCACAAGACACAGTTCCATTTTGGATCCGTGGAACCTGTTGAGTGTCAATTTCTCAAGCATGCGAAAATTAGCTTTAAAAAGGTCCTCCAAAAGTGCTGGATCACCTTCTCTTGAGCCTTCCTGAATATTAATCTCTAGCGTACATAGTCTGGGGGTTTTCTTAAGCAATTCCACAACAAAAATTAGATGCTTCTCAAAACCAAAATTGAAGCTATCAAGTTTGCCTTCTCGCAGATTTATCGCAGTTTGGAAGGTTACATCGGTCCCTCTCGACACAGCCGTATCCTTAGAATAATAAAATGAAAAAAAAGAGTTAACTGTGTGATCAAAAAGTGAAAAAAGAGTTAATTTATATTTTAGTCCTTTTCGAAACAATTGGTTTGATAAAGCTTTTAGATAGAATCAATTTATGAAAATGAAATTTCTCACCGAAGACAAGGAGAAACAGATGGCCAGGGTCTTAACATTGCTCAGAATAAGCGCAAGCGTTAATCCACTTTGAATTGAATTCCCACGTATTACACAACGAAATAGAGTCAAACTTTTAAGTTTCGGAGCCCTGATCACAAAATTTGTAACTCCAGTACAGGAATCGAAAGCCAGCTTTTCAAGGTTCGGAATACTGAAGACCAGTCCCTGATCATAATTACCCCTGAACCAAACCCTCCTAAACACTGCAGAAAGGAGTCCAGGGAATATACATCCAGCATTCACAGGCAAAGAGAAATCGAAACATTCAAGAGTCAGATGCTTAATGGTATTGCATGAGACTATACAAGATGGTAGCTTAAAATGTCCAGGATGGGACGTAGACAGGTCAAGCTCCTCCACGCCGTTTTTTGACAGAAAAACACACCACCCATCCATATTAGCCTGCGGTAACGGCATAGCACGACATAGGTCATTGAGTCGGCCAGGATAGTCAAGCGTGAAAATCCTAATAGGTCCAGATCTTAGCATAAGAATGCTGTTTATTATGCTCACAACAGAAAAGCATTCGTCTTGAGAAGCTTTATTGAACTTATACATGGAGGTTATGGAACAGCAGAAGGCCCAATCAAAGACGAGCCGCCCTTGGCTATACCAAGCCGCCCTCCACTGAGTTGAGAGGAGAGCACATCTGGCGGCGTCTCGAGTGGGCAGTCGCTCCAAAATTGTTTCCATTATTTCTCTGGGCAGTTCCTTTGCTGCAGATTTTCGTCGACGGCAGCTAGACCTACGCATGATGGAAAATAGGAGATCAGAGAATTAAGGCAAGACCGTAGTTTAGGTATTCCGTATAGTGAAATAGGCTAAATACGTTTCACTAAAACGAAGTCATGTAAATAGGAATGGGGATTTCTTGCGCAACCCCAATAGACTATATTTTAAGTCTTTATTTTTCATTTAATTAAAAGGGTCAAATAAAGTGAGCACTTTTAAAAAGGGGCAAATGAGTTATCAAGAAAGTCATATTAATGTCATTCCCAGATTTTAATGTCACTGTCATATTTTAATGTCACTATCAAATGTCACTGTCACCACCGCCCGTGTCACTATAGTCACCGTCCGTGTCACTGTGGTCATTACCGCCCGTGTCACTTTAGTCATCGCCCGTGTCACTGTGGTCACCGCCCGTGTCACTACGACCATTGCTCCTGTCACTGTAGCCACCGCCCGTGTCACCGTAGCCGCCGCACTGTGGCCACCGCCGCAGGTCACTGTCACTGTCGACGACAACGCCCATTACCTCCACCCCACCTCTGCATCTGGTGACCACCGCCTAGCCCCACCGGCCACAGCCCCGACAACCACCACCGTAGACAGCCGCCACCCTAACCGTGACCACATCGACCCCTCCCCTGCCCACGAGTCCCCTCCCAAGCCCCAACCCACCAGCCCCCTCCGAGATCCTTTGATTTACACTGAATTGGGATGCGATTCAAATCTGTGACCTTTTCTTTTTAAATTTCACAGTGATGTTGTCAGACCACAAGATGCTTGACTTGCTCATTAGACCATATAATTATAATCCGTATTAATTAATTATATTAATTAATCACTTAAAATTAGGAACAAACCCCATACTATACGTACATTCAAAAAAAAAAAACACGTACGCTATACGTTGCCACTTGAGGCTTGAGCTAGTAAATTTGTTTGATAGCTCAAAATTTCATCCAATTTTAATTTACAATCTTTGATTTTACTTGGACTTATTGGAAATATAGTTTTAAAATAAATTGTGTGGGTCCCAAGTTGGGATGAGTACATGAATACATTTTTAAAAAATGACCTAACTAGGAGTCATGTTTTGGCATTGTGAAGCTTTACACAATGCATTATTTTCCAAGTTCCATAGTGATTACTTATATTTAGGAAATAAACACGATTACTTATATTTAGGACATAAACACGTTTGGAGTTTACACACAATTGTTCTTCTTCGAAGGGTTCTTAAAATTATAACGTGTCTATAGGGTCCGAGTATGATATGAGTTCTACGCGGTTACTTGGTTTGTTCGGGTAAAGAGTTCTTAACCCTTTAAGATAAATTTTAAAAAGGATAAAAAAACATACTACATCCATCACGAAAAGTTTCGCCATATCGACTTTTCTTGGTCAATGATGGGCAAATTTTGGAAAATGATGTTAATTACTCCCTCCGTCCCACTAAAACTGGGACAATTCGGTTTACGATGTTTGACCGACGATAAAGCAAACATATCACTGTTCACTCTCAAATTATTTTTTGAAAAAAATATTACATATTCAGAAACTACATTAAAAGGTTTACAAAGTTGAAAAACCTGAATCAAATTTGATAAAAATTTGATACATAAAGTAAGATATTAAGAGAGAGTTGTGTTGACAAGCAAATAATGTATGAGACAATTTTAGCGGGACAAAGGAAGTATTATATTTGTATATAATTTATAAATTTCATACTTCTGTGAAAATATTTTGAATAAAGAACATTTTAATATAATTTTCATATCCAAAATTATTTCGTATTAAAAAATATTATTGGTCAAAGTTGATTGTCATTGACCAAAAAAAGTCAATTCGGCGAACCATTCTTAGACGGAGGGAGTACTACGATGTAAAAGTGAATACACTAATAATCACTAAAAGTAACTAATATAGTCACTTTGTATAAGAAATCGCCTTTTCATCAAATATTTTTACATTATTCATACATACACACACAAATCATATAAGATTACCCTAAGCACAGTCTTTAACAAAATACTTAAAAAACTAAAGAAAGACACTTTTGAATACACAATTATGCTAGTACTAGTATGTGCTTTTTACGTACATCTAATTCTAATTAAGTTACTTAGGGTGATTTTCATCGGATTGAAATTTGCCGGTTTGACCTGGTCTGGTCTGACTTGATCAGGTCTAATAAATGTCTAATCTTTGTGCATTTTAAAACTATAAAAGTCTGTCTGATCTGATTTCGTTTGGTCTGGTCTATTTAAATCTGATCTGGAACTCAAAAAGTCAAAGTAAAAACATCTTGAAGATGTTCATTTTGAATTGTTTTTCATTATGTCATCAATAAACAATTCAATTTGTTTCAAACTAATTTCTTTTATAACTATGAATTGCTTTTATTTACTTGATTCAATTTTACCCAGTTTAAGCTCGAAATAGTATAACCTAAATAAATTACAACTAACTAAGAAAATAATGTATTACACCAATAATGTGAATATTCTAAAACAACAACAACTAAAACTAGTTAAAATTAAAGGAAAAATGGTCAAGAATAATCTCAACTATTAGTGATCCAATTGAAATAATCCAAAGTATCAATTATCTCAAAATAATTCCAACTATTAAAAAATATCTCAAAATAATCTAGCGAAGATAAATAAATAATATGTAAATGACTAATAATATTTTATTGTCTCTGAGTATTTTGAGATATTTTTTCATTAGTAGGGATTATTTGGAGATAATTGATAATTTTCATTATTTTAAGGGGATCACTAATAGTTGGGATTATTCTTGTCCATTTTTTAAAAATTAAAAACATAAACAGTAATAATTCTATATTATCAAAGGCGTAATGAATTTTTATTACTTTCTGTTCACGATATCAAGTAATATATATAATGTCAATATCTACACGATGTATGGAACATACATGCCATGACGAAAATTTAGTAGCCGCCCAAGCGACCACAAAATATGGAACATTAATAAGAATGATTTTGGGAGTATGGAAAGTAATAAAATACTATAATTTGTCATTTTATCGCTTGATGAACTTTAATTGAAACAAGACTTAGGGAGTGTTTGCAACAGCTTAAAAAAACACTTTTCAGCGTTTGACTTAAAAAACACTTATTTATCAAACACTACCAATTTTTACTTTTTCTCGACTTGCGTGTGAAAAGTGTTTTTCCATTTTCTATTACACAAAAAGCACTTATTTCTACCAAACACTACCAATTTTTACTTTTCAAAATCACTTTTTTCTCAAACACTATCAACTTTTACTACTATCACTTTTTCCTTATGTTAGACCCTAAATTCTGATAGATTTTGATGATGCCTTAGTTTTGATATCTCTCATCTTTTGTAGCATTCAATTATTATGTATACTGGCAGTTGGCTGTACTAATTATCTGAAAGTGTCCTGCTCAAATTAAAAATTAACAAATAAATATAACTGGAAAACATAAAATGCAATAAGGTAATACTTTATTACCTTAAAAGGATCTCTTATAGATTCTACCAGTTAAATTTATTTGTTACATCAAATGACACAAAAATATTTCGAACAACTACACTATTTATTTAACTGGAATACAAAATGCAATAAGGTAATAATTTTTACCTTAATAGGATTTGTTATCCTACCAGTTAAAAATTTAGTTTATGTTCGAAATACTTGATGGGCCATACACAACCAAGTGTGACCAGAAGTCAAAAGAAAAATGTTTGTATCAAGTAAAATATACTGGAAAAATAAAAATGCAATAAGGTAATTTTTACCTTAAAAGGGATATTTAAATCCTACCCTTATATATTTACTTTATCACAAACATTTTAATTTTGTCACAAAAACGAAAGGCACATTGGTATGAAATATACATGTGTCTAATTGAGAACAAATAGATGTATAATTTTTAAGACTAATAAAATTAATACTGGAAATTAAAAAATGCAATAAGGTAAATTTATTTACCTTAATAGGATATTTAAATCCTACCAGTATAAATTTTATTAGACACAAAAATTAACTGTTCGAGTGTTTGTCTCGTGGTTATCCGGAGCCAATCAAAAATCCCGGCATGGAGAGCCAAGACGTACAGTATGGGATGCACAGTCAACTTGAAATGAAAAAGCTACAGTGGCTAGGAAAACAAGACAAAAAGAAACCATAAGCTCTGAAGAAGAAAATAAACAACAAGTTGTTTATCTTCTGCGATCAAGATTCAACGTTCATGATTAAATCATCTCAACCAACGGATGATATTAATCAACCAGAGATGCCTATAAATAAAGGCCGAAGCATGAGTTGAAAAATTAAGTCATTGAGTTCAAAGCAAGAGATTCTGTTAATACACTACGAATATCCAGCAAAGAGGAGTGCTAGAATACTCTGCTTTGACTCATGCTTCACTAAGCTCTTAGATTAGATCATTCACTATAACATTCATAGAGCTTAGATCTTAGTTGGCGGTCAGAACTTTCGTGAAACACTTCACAAGATTGTAAACACTTAGGAGAACAGTTGTTCGGATCCTAAAGTGTAGGTAGATAGATAGAGTACCTTTTGATCCCCACTGGATCATTAGAGAAAAGTCTAAGGACTGAGTAACTTTGAGTGGTGTTATACTCATTGTGAAAAACCTTCAATCTAGGCCTAAGTGTTGTAAAGGCTAGATTGGCACTAAGTGTATTGGGCTTAATACTTTAGTGGAAATCCATCTGAAATAGGGTGGGACTGGATGTAGGAGGATTACACCACCTCTGAACCAGGATACATCGTGTGTTGATTCTCCTTTACTCAACAGAGCACACACCCAACACTTCTCATTAAAGGGATCGTAGTTTGCCAGCAGCATCCTAAGCAGTAGCCTTAATTGACTCTACTGCTTATCCTACTGCTTAATAACTCACTTTTCTTTGAGACAACTGTTTCACACGAGCTTTGGAATACCACTACTAAAAGGTTTGGTTTGCCAGTTCTCAGAAATACTCCTTTCATACACAGCAGACGGCTTAGCAGTTCCCTGGGTCTACCCAACTGCTCAGACCTCTGCTCAGGCAAAACT